TCCCACAAGATCAAAATGCCCCCCGAGGAGCCAATAGCATCCAAAGCAACCCACTCCACAAATCGCCCCCCCCCCCCCCCCCCCCCCCCCCCCCCAAGACTCCTCACAATCCTATCAGACATCGAAGCCAGTTTAGTCTCCTGGAGACACACCACATGACCCCTACTTTTACGAATAACCGACTTCACCACTTTCCTTCTAACCGGATCATTGAGACACCGGACATTCCATGAGAGAATTTGTAGCTTCATTGGGAAACACTTGGAAAAGCAAATCCTCCCCTCCTTCCACCACCTCTCCCTCCAGATCTGGACCCCCTATTCCTCCTTTCGTATGTGATAACATCATTGGGACTTTGCAACATTGTCTCCCCTCTCTCCTCCTGCCGCCCCACCTTATCACTCACCTTTACCTTAAAATGAGAACTGAGGACATCATTAAACAAACACATCACCTCATCCACCCTGCCTTCAAAAGAAACACCCAACAAAGGGCCCACTTCCAAGCCCTTCTCCCTCACCCACTCCTCCTCAAGGTCATTCACTCCAACCTCAGTCGAGTCACTAACCCAATTCTCCCCTGGTGGAACAATAGCCAAAGGGACAGCCAAATTCACTGCTTGTTCCAAATCTTCCCATGGAATCATGCCCGAGTCCCCATCAAGGGATGAACCTGCAGCTCCCTCCCAATCATCAAGAACTGAAGAAGAATGCGAACAATACCGTGAAACAGGCTCCTCCTCTGTCAAAATATCTCTTGAATCAGAAAGAAAGCCTTTTAAAGCCAAGTGGTCCCGTAACTCCTTCAATAGAACAGAGGCTGTTTCATCATCCAACTTTACCTTCACATCCCGACCAATACAAACCGTAATTCCCTCACCCATACCTTCACTTCGCCGAGAGAAACCAAGCCTATAACCAGAATCACCAACATGCCTTCCAGCCAAAACCGAGTCCTTCTTAATCACCGGTGCCAAGGATTGAGAAACCATGTCAATCCCACCCATCACCCGATCCAGTGAAGTCATCGACCCCCCCAAAGAAGGAGAAGAAGTAGAAGGAGAGCACAACTTAGGAGGAGAGGAGTCAGAGGGAACTGAGACTGAAAACATACCCGGATCGAACCCCGACTGCGAAGATGCCACCCATTTCTGTTTATCTTTCCTTGACCACTTTTTGCGAAGAGCGGGAAGAATAATTTTCTTCTTGGGCAACCGACGTCTCAGTACCGGATCCTTCACTCGTCGATCAACCTTGACATTCGCAGATAACAACCCGGCAGCACAGGAATCTCTGTCATCACTCATTGATACCAAGGGCTCAAACCTATTACACAGAAACCCAGATCCACAACTCGGCCCACTCTTCAACCCCGAAAGTCCACCAACAGAATCATCTCTAGAAGAATGGGCGCTCGGCCCACCAACCACCTCACAAGAGACTTGCCCACCACAATCCAATTCCAAAGAATCTGACAGAGGCCTTTTAGCAGTAGGCCTATTAGGCCCAACAAGTGGCCCAACAGACCCAGGCAAAACATTATTAGAAACAAGGGCCCCATTCTCAAGACCACCATAAAGCCCATCTGAGTGGGGAGCCGAATTTGAATAGATCGTGGGAACAGTTGTTCTCCATTGGGAACGGGCAAAGCCTGAGCGCCAACCACGTGGAAAAGCTGGAACCCTCCCCCTCCCACGTGCCTGCTGAGCGTGGAAGCCACCTCGTCGTCTTGTTTGATCTCGCTGCTGCGCAAAAGGTCTACGACTATTTCCGGCGAGACCTCCACCCCACTGCAACTTCCGAGACGCTTCCTGCCATTGGCGATCTGACAAAAAGGAAAGCCCATCCTTGCGATTCTGATTGTAAATCCTTCTAAAACACTCCGAATTGCGAATCCATAAGTCTTCACTCCATTCCTTCCATGCCTGGAACTCAGCCATACCTTTTTTCCCCATGGATTCCCACCTCAACCATACTTTCTCCTTAAGCAAGTGCGAACCATCCCCGCCTTCCAGGCTATCAGTCGTCGAAACAAGCTCAGGATGCTTCTCCTCCCAAACAAACACCTTATAGCAGAACTAGTCATCATGAATGAACACAAACGGAGGACAAACCTTCCCATCAGAGACAGTGATTCGGACTCTTTCAGCATCCAAAGCTTCATCGGCATCCACCCAAATGAACCCACCACAAAGATTACCAACTGTCACAAACAGAGCATGGCTCCAAAGGTGGAGAGGAAGACCGTACATCGTCACCTTTTTCAGACCCTGCTCTTTCAACACATCCGAGCACCCTACCCTAAAATTCCAAGCTTCCAAAGAGAGAGAAGCCGTTCCCCAGTCACGGCGACCCCTCTTGAGAACTCGAGAAGCTTCCGTCGAGGAAGGAAACCGGAAAAGCAATAAAGAATCCGGCAAAGACGAGACCATCACACCAGAGGAGACCTTCCAAGCACGCGAAGCCCAGGCAGCAATTTGAGCCCCATCACCCACTTCCTTATCAAATTTTCCAACCAAACACGACCGAAGGTCTTCTCTTCTTCTTCGTACCGAATCATCATCCAAGAAAATAGATGGGCCTTTATACGGATTTGCAGATCTAGCAGACCCACCTTGGAACAAGCGAGGCAATCTAGCAACCTCCAAGAACGAGCGCATGACAGAGAAGAAAAACCAAACCAGACCAGCAATACACACCAACCACGAACCACAGACCCAACTTGTGAAAGACAGCTTTGATGATTGATTATTGATTATTATTCAGAAATTATTGTGTTTCTTCTCCCTCAATTCTGATTTCTCCTTCTCCGTGATTCTTCTTTTCTCTCTCATTCTGATTTCTTCCCCTTTTATTCTTATTCTATTTCCCTCTCAATCTCTTTCTTAACCTCTTCTTTTTACTTGAATTCTGTTTTCGAATCGCCCCTACCCGCTGCTGCATCAATAGCATGCTGAAATATTTGGACTGCACTTGGACCGCAAAGGAGAAGAGGAAAGATAAAACGATAAATAATTCTGGAGGGGAAATGACCAAACAAGCACCAGATTGACATCAAGTGAACTCAAATCCGTATAGCAAACCCCAAAAAGAAAGAAAATTAAATTCAATCTAATTTCCCTAATCTCGTTTTAGCGGATAGACCTTATCCATAGACTAGAAAGCTTTCTAAGCAAGTAAAAAACTTCTAAAAACAAGACTAACCATATGGTAAGAAGACTACATGACACAAATTTCTCAATGAGACGAGTTTTCCAAATAAATCTAATCCTAAACCAGACTAGGAACAAACTCCTAGTTGGACAAGGTGAGGAAACTTGCAATATAAAAAGTATCAAAGAATGAAACTTAAGACAAGAAGAAATTTCAAGAAGCACTCTAAATCCAATGATCAAACAACAGAAAACCTAGATATGAAGCAATCCTAATCTTTCAAGAAATAGCAAAGTTACTCATGTACAGATTTTGTTCAAGTACAGAGCATATTCCAAACATAACAAATTTTCCTTTATTGTTAACACCGCTGCTTTATTGATTTGCCTTGTCAGCTCCTCGTAAGCATTTAACCTTATCGTGATTCTCATCCACCACAGCAACTAAAGCTCGCTGCCGGTGCTACTTTTTCCTTCAGAAATCAGGGTATACAACTCATTTACATCAAAATGCACTGCAGCGTATGCAAATTTGGAATTTTATTCAATCATAGACAAACGGAAGACTCTCAAGATACTCTTCTGAAAGGCAAGGCTTGCATTTGTTACAAATTTACAAAGTCATTGGCTAAGCAGCACGGAGGAGTCGTGTCCATGTCAAACATTAACACTTGTTAGATACTCCTAGAAACATATCCAAGCGGACCAAGCCTTGAAACTAAATTTCATGATTTTGAACAAGAGAATGACATTTCTTATAAACCAACCAACAAATGACCAATGTAACACAAACAAATCTTAGTGCTGTTTGGCATTACTCTAACTTCTAAGGAAGCACTTTTTGTCCCCTGCAGAACAGTCAAAAAAGTGCTACTGCCTGGAAGATCAGATAGTGTTTGGATATACAATATCTAAAATATTGAGAAATATCTCAAACACTTCCAAGTGAATACATTCCTTACATAGATTTTACCACTCCACACGAACACAATTAAGAATGAATAAAGTTTGTGCTTTTGTCAAAAGAGTTCTAGGACCAAAACCTTTCTAAAGAAGTGCTGAAAGCACTTTGGGGCTGCTATACTAAAACCCCAAATGGATACATGGTAGGAGCCTTGTCCACACGCTTGGAAATAAAAAGAAAGCACCTTGAATAGTGCAACCATTTTAATTAAAAAGGAGATATTTGAGTCAAACGTGATTTACACTTCAACATAGACTCAGTACCGTTAGTTTCATACTCCAAACTTGTTTGTAGACTCGGCACACAAACTGGACTTGTTTAGGCTTGCCCCTTTATTTATTACCAATTCACTAGTTTTATATATCATGGAAAAACTCACACCAAGAACATGTTGTGAGTTTGAGTTAACGCATGTTTAGTTAGTTCTCCGAAAAAAGTTTTTAAGGACTCAAAAAACTTAAAACAGTTTTCAGATGAAAGATTGTTCTCTGAAAACAGACCTTTTTAAACTCAGTTTTCAAAAAACTATCAACTAAACAAATTTCCAAACTGTTTTCAGTTCCCTTAGAATAGAAAACTGTTCTCGGAGAAATTCAACATGTTGATGAAAAATAAATCAACATTTACAGCATACATGCCAATATTCTGAATTTCCACCTCCAGCATAAATATGGGACTGGACAAGAATCTAAAGCTAAGAGGTTGAAAGCTCTAAAAAAGGTTTAGTAGGTTTATGCTTTCTACATATTTACCATAAAACTGCAAACCCTTTCATGCATTATCATTGTTGCAATTTTGATATATCTTATGCTTATTAAAAACTAGTAGGAAAAAATAAAACTGTACAAACAGCAAAGTAACAAAAATATGGAAAATAAAACTAACTCATGCACACGATTCTGAATAGCCTCTTCACCCTCCAACTTCTCATGCCAAGGAATACGCTCACTAGCTCTTTCCCACAACTCTTCTTGCTCAAAACCCATCAATTGAAGTTGACCATTACTCTGTTAACCAGATAGCTCCAGTTAATAGTGCATAACACACGGTTTAGCACGAAAAACAATTTCCAACAACAGTGATTGGAGAACGCAACCATACTCTTCAAGGTATAAACTGTAGAAGCCTATTTAAAATGTTGCAACTATATATCTTAGACACTCATGTACTATATATCTTACCAATGCATCCATTTTTCCTGTTCCTGGAATTGATTTTCCCTTTGATGTTATCCTACTCAGCATAGATGCCTCATCAAGCTCAGGAGTCGATGCTGATTTGGGGGCTTTCTGTGAAGACTTATTGACCAACTTATTGATCAAATGGTTAAGAGCACGAGGTAACTGTAACCAGAAAAGTGCTTCTGAGGTTTCACCGAAGATTGCAGCTGAAAAGGCAAACCTTACAGCAGAACCTTTATTCACCAATGTAGCATATAATCTCACCCTGTCATCGTCAAGTATGCAGCCTTGGGAAATGAAAACAGGGAAGACGTAAGAAACAAAAACTAATCAGAGCTCAAATGCGGTGTTTTTAAAAAGTGGTACCAGTTAGAAGACTAAATGCCCACCTTCTTTCCGATAAGGTTCTAATACCTTGAGAAGCATCTCTGGCACTACGGAGTCACCAACAGGAGGTGAATCGATCATATAATTGCGAAGATCCCCTGCCGATGAAGCAGTTCCTGGAATTGGGTAACGTCTCTTTTCTAAATTTGTACTGCATGTATTGAACCACGAGGGTTTCACACCCAATTGCAAGATCATCCGTAATGCCTGTGCCAAAGGATCAAGACCATAATGCCTAGCAATTCATATTCAATAGTTATGCTCAAAAATTCTGCAAAGCATGGAACCAGAGCAGCATCATAATCATCCCAAATGCATGCATTTTGTATGTACAGTATCATCACAATAACTCATCAGAGAGAACTATAGTGTTAAAGGTATGAGGCAATAAAAAATTATCTGACAGTTGGGAGTAGAAAAAGGAAGAAAATTATTCAGCTCCCACTGAGAGGTAATCTTTATTTTTCATATAACATTCTAATTCTTGATTCTCTTTTGCTTTATTTTTCCAGCCTCTCCAACTAATTTGTAAATATACCTATATATAAAAACAATACAAAACTTGGCCAACCAATACAGAAAAAAGAAAAAGAAAAAAAGAGCAGGTTTATTATCAGTGTTCTAATTAGCACAGTATTGCACCTTATCTATAGTAATAGTAACAGCATAGGAATGACTATACAAGGAATTAGCATGACGTCACGGAGAAAATGAAAGGTGGAGTAAATGTTACCAAGGCATGTGGGGTAGGAAGTAATATGGGAGAACATAAAGGCATTGGCCTGAATCTTTCTTTTAAAGCTCTATACTGAGATCCGTAACCAAATCTTTTATCATTTCTGCATGGAAAATGAGCAAATTTCAAAGAGCAGAAATCAGGAAAATCTTGTTACAGGTCATTCACCCAAGATTGAATTAGCTTATAATAACGGAGAATTATTAAAAGTGTTGACAGTCAAATCATAGACTAAGCACATGATGTACCAAAGATCAGCGAAATTCAAACACTTAATAAATATAAAGCACCAACCCCTACAAGTATATACATTATATTCTGACATCACATAGCTGTTCCTAGAGGTTGATGCGTTACACAAAACTTTTACAATACAAGCTGATCTTGAAAACAGTTGGAGTAAAGTTTGAGTGTTCTATATATCAAAATCAAATATAGTGAAGCTGAAAAATCTTTTAATTGCCAGTTATTCATTTAAAAGAATCACATTGACTCTTCCATACACTAAAGGAAAAATTTTATATAATAATATGAGGATTGATCTTACAGGGAGTATATTGCAACAACGATCTTAGCATAAACTTTAAGGCAAAAGTACCAGACTCATTTAGCAACTTGTAGCCTGAATTATTTCAATTGATTTTCTTGAGCTTATCACATGCTGTCATACTTCAACGTAGATGAGAAAGAAGTGTATCTGGTTGCTAAATGATCAAGTTGATCTACCTCAGTCTAGCAGAACAATTTTTCTCTTCGGACCTTTTCTCCAAAACTGTTGTAATGAGTTACTACAACTAGCAGAAGAATTTGGTATGTTGCTTATCTGGAAGAATTTGTTTTCTTGAGGAAAAGTGAAAAATAGAAGGGAAGTCAAAGAAAAGGAAAGAAACTTCTACAGAAAGAAAACAAAAAAAAAAACAACAATAATAATAAAATCTCAACAAGACAAAACAATGCAAATGCATATGTAATATAATCTTCAGCTCATTACACTTGAGATCCTGCATAAAGTACTCTAATGCCACTATGTCGGTTTTCAATAGATTTACGAATTCATTTTCTAACCATGAAGCATGGACACTATCATAAAGAATATGTATGATGAATGTGTAGCCAATGGTTAGAATGACTGTTGGGGATACATACACATTCAAGATGAGATTCCATGGTGTATGTTATACGTTGATGATATTGTTTGAATTGATGAAACTAGAGAAGGAGTCGATGCCAAATTGGAGGTTTGGAGGGAAGCTCTAGAACTAGAAGGTTTTAGGATAAGTAGAAATAAAACTTAATATATGGAGTGTAACTTTAGCAAATCTAGAAATACAAATGAGGATGTAGTAAAGTTGAGGACCAAGAGGTACAAAAAGTAAATATTTTCGGTATTTAGGCTCAGTTATCCATAATGAAGGAGAAATTGGAGATGGTGTTAGTTATAGAATCAAGACAGGATAGGTGGTCAATGTATCCCATTATGATTGAGAGGGAGATTCTAGAAAACAGTTATTAGACCAGTCGTACTCTAAGGGACAGAATGTTCAGCAACTAGGAAACGCGTGCATAAAATGAGTGTGGTCACTGTGGTGGAAATGCAAATGTTGAGATGGATATGCGGCAAGACAAGAAAGGATAAAATTAGAAATTAACACATTAATGAGATGGTTGAAGTAGCACCAAGTTGAGACAAATGAGGTAAAATCGGTTGAGATGGCTTGGGCATGTGCACAGAAGACCTTTAAGAGCGCTAGTTAGGAAGAGTGACATGGTCCCACATGTGGTTTGACTGAGGCTACAGCCTTAGAGCAGAATGCCAGAATGGAATAATACGATTCATGTACCCGATCCCAAGTGGTTGGAAAAAGACATTGTTTGTTGTTGTTATATACATCTGTATGAAAATTAAAATATATATGTATTCATGTTTAAATTTAAAATAATAATGTTATTCATGTCGCACGCGCGTGTATATATATATTACAAGCAACATTTACTTGGAAAAAAAAAAACTATTTTCAAATTTGGCACATTAAGGAGGAATAAGTCTAAGAAACGTACAGTGAATATCCAAGGATTATCCGGTATAAATATGGATATCCCTCTCCTATAGAAATATCCATGCTTCATAGTTTTCTACCAACAAGTCAGACTTAGTTTTAATGATGTTTAACAAGTCACCTTCAAAATTTTGTTTACTTCTTTGCTTCTTACTAATGCATCTTCAGTGTCCTAATTTTGGTTGGCATTTCAATTGATTTCGTTTAGAAGGTGTTTCTAGGAATGGTATAAGTTGTTGGATGGATGAATGAAAAATTAAAAATGCATAAACAAATTTTACAGGATAATAAAAGATTTTTCAGAGCTAATAGCAGCTTTAACAAGCATGCTTTGGTGCGTAAATTCAGAACTAAATTTGGATTCCATGCCACCATAATTTTTATTTATTTATTTTAAGTGCAAGACTGCAGCTCCAAGCATGTGCAATATAACCTTATCTCCAAGCTTAGGGTTGAGGGACTCTCTTCTGTCACCAGCAGCTTGCAACCTTACATTCTTATCAATTAAATGTCATCCATCCAAGATAGGAGTGTACACTTGAATAAGGACACAATGATTAAAACATACAAAGACTTTGCGAGCTCAAGTAAAATGTAGCACATACATATTAACCTCAACTAGGCGAAAGCTGCTATCAGCTCCAGCAATGCACAACACCAGTGGATCGTTTTTATCCGTTCTCAAAGGCAACCAGTCAAGTTCCAGTACAAGGGTTCCTGGAAATTGAGGTTGCAAAAGGGAATTGGCTAGGGGATCCTGTGAATCCTGCAAATCAAAAACATGTTGAGGCTAAGGATCAACAAAATAAAAAAGAAAAAGAAAAGTCAAAACCTGCCAAATCATTTAAGCAAAACAATCTTTTTAACTCAGCACAGATTTTGAAACTCAACAAATGTCAGGCTAAGAATGCATCAGTCCCCTATAATGAATGACAAAATATGCATTTCTCTCTTAATACCTCCACTTCGCAAACTCATAAAGATAGCAAATAGTACTGATGGAAAAGTACAACACACAAATACTTACTGATCATAAAGTACGTTAAAATAGGCAAGCATACACACAAACAATAGAGAGAGACAAAAATAAATGTCTCCTTATATGCTTACAAGATCAAATACAGAAAACGTATTGTCGTAAAATAGTACAGCAATACGGCCACGGCTACGGTCTCCAGCAACAACAGGTGAGAACTTGATTCTCCGAATCCCTTCCCTGTGAGTGTTAAATGAAGAAGATTGTCCAGTTGTCACATCCCACCAACGTATGTTACCTGACCTGTCCCCCATAACCTAAGAAATAAATTGTTAATAGTGGAGAGCTTTATAAAATCAAAAAACCCAACTCAAATTGCCAAAATACCGCTGACAATTCTGAAGTACATGATACATACTACATGAGGCACGCGATAGGCCATAGCTGTGACCAATCCATCAGATGAAACAAATGAAGAAGAAGGCCACTTTGGTCTGCACACGAGCATTATATAATCTCATTATATGATGCAGCAAAAAAGCAGCTTTTATGGTTCAAATATTGAAGTACTATAGATCAGATCAATGCACCATGGACAATACTATAAATATGTCAACAACAAGTACTTTCCACTTCAATTGCACGGCTTGCACCCATTTTAGTGTGCTTTAGTTGTGTGTGTGTGTGTGTGGCAATTACTGAGAATTATAACTGCTTTCCACTCATTGGTTACATTCTTTCTTTTTTCATTTTTGGACATAAGAAAATACTTATGAAACAAGTATAGACATGGCACACTTAAAGAAGAAGAAAAAAAGTTATAAAATAATGGCCAGGCTCTAATCGAGTCAAACAAACAATTCTTCCAGATAATTCATTCTTCCCAAAATGAAAGAAAAAATTTCAGAGAACAAGGAGTTTGATCTCTTTAAGGTGTACACAACTGTCCAAGTGAAAGTTAACAATGACTTTAACTACCATGAAAAACCAGAGAAATCATACATATAATATAAATAAACATATATAACAAAAAAATCTGATTTGTTGAAAAAAGTGCAGCTAACTTGGCATGGAGAAGAAGAGTAACCAAGAAGGATTTTCATGGAGAAGAAAGGGAATCCTCGATTCTACCAACATTTACGTCTAGACATTACTCCTATTCATACTTTTTATTGACAACTTTATAGGATACAATCAAGATGTTCAATGTCCTCGAGATGAAACTTCAGCTACCTAGATGTCCTAAGAAAAGAGCATTAAAAATGTACATGTATGATAAAGCCCAACGATAAAATTGTCTACACACACATTTATCAAAAAAACAAAAAAATTGTCTACACACACACACACAAGAGGCATGAAAATATTTAGACCTAGTTGATGCCTTATGTGATATGCCTTTTAGCCCAAACAGAAGATGCATTATACAATTGCTTAAATTGATTACCATAATAGTCATTCAATATGTAACCAAGAAGCAGTGTTCTAAGGGTTTGATTAACGCATGGAGGGGATGCCGTGTGAGAAGCAGTGTTCGCGACTATTGGAGGACAGTTCCGCATTGCGTTTGGTGGTGCATTTGGAAGGAAAGGAATAGTAGAATGTTCGAAGGGAAGGAGTCGTCCATGGCGATGCTGAAACTTCATATTATTCGCTCTGTATTTAGTTACGTGAAAGAAAACTAGGATGATGAATCATCCCCACCTACCCACAAGGGATACTGATCGTGTCAACTTGAAACCCCCATAGAACCCTATCGAAATTTGTGAGCATCAGCATGTAGGTTCCAGATCCAAAGCAAGAATCAAACCGTAAAGAGCCGCCTAGTGGATTGGTATCCAAGGGCAGCTGCATAAATTTTCCTTAAATAGGCAATCGGACAGATAGCCTAACAAAAGTTTAGCAAATGACTAGACTCCTCTTTAGTGTTTGGAGACAATTTATATCATAATAAACAGCAGTGACCATCCTAGTAGGATAAAATTTGACAATTATATGGCTACAACAAAATATTGACCTCCTACTGTACACCTTCATATAAAAGGAAAATACACCTGAAGTCTCGGATTCTTCGCCCATGAACCTCAAAAACACCAAGTGCACCATTTACTAGCGCAAATGCAAAACTTTCAGATGAGTCATCTTGAGATCCGTCTGAGCTCACTCCCTCTGCATATAAAAGTCAATTTTATGCATGAACGGTGTTGAACATCTAGGAAAACCAATTTAAAATCTGTTTAAATGAGATGTAAATGAATTATAAATAAAGTAAAACAAGCTCACTAGAATCCGTTGAAGATGCCGCCGTTGGGGAAGATGTCCCAGATACAGCCAAAGGAGTGTGGTCTTTGGATGATGATGGTGACTGCCTAGAAGGTACAGTTTGAACTGGCCGTGGAACAGTTGGCAGAGTCCACTCTAATACCGTGAATGGAAGAGCTAATGATCTAAGCTACATGGGGAAACAAAAATATAATTAATATCTAGAATAGAAAACTAAAAAGTTCTAGCAAAATAAAAGATACCTAGACAAATATATTGTTAGCAATACTGCAAATGGCACATTGATTCATGCAATGAATTGGGAAAATTCTAACAAGTTACCCATTAACATAAATTGAAGAAACAGAATCCAAACATTAAATCCATAATTAATAACTTTTATAGAAGATAAGTAACATGACACACACAGCATCAGAATGTCCTTGATCAAAACAAGCATAACAACTAGATGCATGTGGAGGAAAGTGGTAAAGAGGAAATTCAGGGATGAAAGAAGGGGGAGAACCTCAAGGGAGATTATGTCCTCGTATGGCATTGAGTTTCAGAATGGCATAAGAAAGGGGTCGAAGGAGTTCTCTGAACATATCAGGTTTCTGGTGTTTAATGGCAGTAGAGTAAGGTTTGAGCATAATATTTTGGCGTGGGATTGTGCCCTTAAAATTCTCCTTTCCTAGATTTCTACGGTAGTGCCGCGAGCAGAGGGGCTTTTTAAAATGTTCGCTGATCCAATTGAGGAACCATTACAGGATGGACCTCAACATAAATCTGAGGATCTGCAACAAGTGATTGAGTAGGAACATGTTAGCTTTCCAGAGAGAAGGTAAATGGGAGTACCACTTTTTCAGGGTATTATAGAATTAGGGGTTAGACTTGGGTTGATGCTTTCCTTAAGATCTTGTGTAACTCTTCAGTGTGTGGTGAAAGGGATTATCTTATAACCTGAAAAGAGTGCCCAATTCGAAGTGAGTTCATTCTATTAGAATGTGATGCGGGAGTTTAAAGGCTGAGTTCCCTTGAAAAGATATTTGAAACGGTAAATGCCTTCCAAAGTATCGTTTCTTATTTTATCTCTTACCATGGAGGCTATCACCTTCTCCATCGTTTTGGTGACACTACAGCAGATTGGTTGCGGTGAATGTCATTTTCCCATTATGGTGTGCAGAGGGTCATACCTCAGTAGCTGGAGGTACTTCCAGGATGTTGTTTTGGAGGGTTAAGATAACAAAAGAACCCATCAGGTATGGCAGGATGTACATTTATGACTTGTGTGGAGTGTTTGGTGGGACAAAATAATCGCATTTCTGATGATGTGGAGATGCCTCTGTACATACTAAAAAGTCTACTTTATATACCTTTCATTTTTGGATGCCCAGAACACTTTCTGTTGATACCATTAAAGATTTGAGTTGCATAGAGGGAGTCCAGCTTTGTGAATCTTGTACTTGTAACAGGCACAGGTTTCTTTCTGGCACTTTTGCTTTAATATAATTATCTCACTTATCAAAAGGATTTGTATACAGAGCCCCTTAAGAAACCAGAATATCATACATAAAAACAAACATCTAATTCTATCACTTTTGGCTAAGGAATCCATAATATGATACTGCTACCTACAAAGTACGAAACAATAAAAAGAGTCCAGTCCTGTCTTAGTGATAGATGAAACTTTCAAAAAATTGAGAACGCAATAGTTGTTTGAGACACTTGCAGATAATCTTAACTAATGAGGAAATTAAGATCTGAAGGTTTAGAAATTCGTGGAAAGTTTTGCTATTCTGTTAAACAAATCACCCATCTAATGTATCAAACTAAAACATTTTTCTAGTTGGCCATCTCCTTGAACATTTAAAGGAGAGTGAATGCAGCTCAGTTATTATTCTAACAAAGTCTATTGCACAATTAACCTGACAGATTACAGATGCGTAAACAAAATTATTTCTCAAACATGCAGCATTTGCTTGAAATAAATCAAAGAAGATTTAGATCAGGAAAAAGTAATCCAAAAGAAAATTCAGCTTATACTATTGCTTCTACCAGAAATTTTTTTTTTTTTCTTCCAACAGGCAAAAATAAAATTTTAATGTTATATCAGAACATATTTCATGTAGCATAGGAAAGAGAAGGAATCAGCAGTTTACCATAATGGGTGTCTTTGTCATTGCCCACACCTCTACAGGTGCATCGCGAAACAAAATTAAAAGATACCTACAAATTTGTTAACATCACAAGAACAGTGTCACTACACATAACTCATGAAGTAGTGATAGGTAACAATAGAGCATAACATAGTGCAACAAAGAATAGGTAGCTCACTAATGTAACATAACCTGAAACACCAATCAGTTCCTTAACCCAGACAAATGGGTCTACAGAAGCACTTTACGATTTCAAAATGAACTTGAGCATTCATGAAGTTACGACTGCTCTAGATACTTATCAGTACGGAATTTGGAGGTTATAAATATAACCATACAGAAACTTCTGCTATGAATTTTGCCAAATTTTAGAGAGATAAAGAGACTTCCTCCAATGGTCCCAAGGTATCCTTCTTTCATATATGCACATTTTGATATTTCAAGTCTTCTAATATGAATTGTTTTTTCAAACATCTCTTGAAGATGTAAATGGTTAAAAATTTCCAAACTATGGTATCGATTTTTCAAATTATGTATATCCCACCTGGCAGTTGAAATGTTGCTCAATTGTCCGTTAATATTTCTGTGATCCACCTGGCTCAAGGTTGGTTTAAGAAGAATGGCAGTATACACTATCCCCAAATTAAGCAAAGATTTAGTTGTTGGAACTCTCTTAAGAAAGATAGACTCCATTCTCTTAAAACTTCTCATTTACAAGTTAAAACTCTATTACTGCCTTCCACACCTCCTGAGCAGACATGACTAATTATTGAAGTTGATGTTGTGGGCAAGCTTTTTACCCACTACAGAAATCTTGAATCCTTCCCATTCCCAACCAGAGAATTTGTCATGCGCTAAAAGCACTGGCATCTCCATCTAACATCCTATTAAACATATGGCTAACCATTTCCTCAAGTCAGCATCCAGCTTTATAGGAAAAATGAGTATTTCACCCTTTTTTCTCCAATACTAAATTGATGACCTATGTATTATGTATAAACTAAGAAGAATTATTGGATTTGAAGGGGAAAAAATGCTAAACTTACATATTTTTTGTTTGGTCAGCATAGTCCTCCAAATATGTTAGCTTTGGATTATCCTTCCCCTTCCAACCAGAGAATTTGCCATGGGCTAAAACCATTGGCCTGTCCATCTAATATCCTATTAAACATATGGCTAACCATTTCCTCAAGTCAGCATTCAGCTCAAGTACCATAATGAGTCTTCAGTCACAACCAAGAGAAGTGGAAACACCAAGATCTATAGCAACTAATTAACCATGACAAGGATACATTGCCATTGTAAATAGAATGCAGGCTCAAATTTCTATATGTTATGCGGTACAAATATTGTACTTCAAAATTTAAATCATACTCCCTCCATCCCAAAATAAGTGTCCAACTTTCCTTTTTGGGATGTCCCAAAATACTTGTCCCACTAAAAAGTTCAAACAAAATATTTCACATCTTTCCATGAATTTCCTTGAAGTTTAAAGAAAAAAAAAATCAAACTTGATTATATATATGTATATATATAATCCCCTTAAAGACTTAATTGTGTGTAGTAATTTTTAAAGGGGACAACGCATTAATTGCATGTCCCCTTAAAAACTTCTATTCCCCAAAATGGACACTTATTTTGGGACGGAGGGAGTAAAATAGACTGAGAAAACCACGAACCTTGAAACCAAAGTAATTCCAGGGAATCACACCCAACATGAGGGTGCAAAGTTAGCCTCCACGGATGGCTGAGTTGCCATAAGGCCTCTAGGCATGACCCAGAGGTCTTGTGTTGAATTCCTGAGGGGCGTCAAAAACCTCCGCCTTTGGTCCCATGGTTTGAGGTGACTGCAGGTCTCCAAAGGGAATAGTCCCGCTCCCGAAGAGGGATGGGACATCCTCCATTATAAAAGAAACGAAAAGGTGTAGAGTTCAAGTTCGACCTGGTTGGTTCATGAAAATATAGCTTCTTTTGTGGAGGTGAAAATTATAAAAAATTTGGTTCTTGGAAATATAATTTGACACGTGATGTTCCTAATGATACCATCCAAAAAAGAGAAAACATCATAGCACGAATGAAAGTATTATTCCATACAACATTCTAGTAACTTTTTCTTTTAATAGATAAATTCTAGCTTTCCAATTGTAGATCTCAAAAGTTGATAAATTTGTCATGTGTTTCTTCCTAGTGATTTCCTTCTTTACATTTTTTTTTTTCTTTTTTCTTTTTTCTTTGTTGTGCATATATGAATGCGTGTTTGGGGAGGGGGAGGGGGAGGGGGATGTTTGACATTGTCGCCTAGTTCAATGTGGATATAGAGACAGGAAAGAGGGGGGAGATAGAAACGTTCCAATATTGTAAGTTCAGATTACACTATTAAGATGCCATAAATATAAGGAGACAATGTTTCCATAAAATATGTAATATACTCGTATATTATATATATATATATACACACACACACACGTGTGTGTGTGTGTGTGAGAGAGAGAGAGAGAGTGTTAGTGTATTGCAGTTAAAGTTTCCATAAAAAAAAAAATATGTAATATACATATACATACACATATAAAAATAATATAAATGTGTGTGTTTTTGTATTGCAATGAAGTGATACATTTGAAAAATAAGATAAGATTCTAGGTTCAGTAACAACCTTCCAGATGATGAAGCCCTTAAAGCTCTAATGGGCGCACGCTCTGGCTTTTGTAAAACCCGAAATGTTCGATTAAGGCCACTTCTAAGACAGGTCACAACAAGCCTATTAATATAGCCTCCACTTTTTTCATTCCCCTGAATCCAGCAAAAAGTATGGATTGCATGTGATAAGATGGTATGGCAATGAAGAAGGAAACAACATAAGAAATTAAGGCATCACTTGAACCTAACACTGAGAAATAAAAGAAAATTAGGCAAATTTGCAAGCAGAAACAAATAAGAGATGCAACTTGGAAAACCATAGCAGCAGAAGACCAAAAATTATATATTTTAAGAAGTAAGATAAATTAAATAAACTGAAAACAATGTGTTCAAGAAAACAAAAATGTTCTAATTAGATGTCCTATACCTGGGTGTAGGAGAATGAGACAAGTCTAGAATTTCCAAGCCATCGTAATCCCCTAACAGTACTAGCATGAACAGAAAAACTAGCAGCAACAGCATTGGCTGAGACATCAATGACGTCAATTGTACCACTTTGAGTTCCCAAAGCAACCAATGGAACAGCTACAGCAGGATTGTTTCCCCCACCTTCACAAGTAATATCTCACTGGTCAATTCATAAACCAATAATTAATTTTCAAAGTCATGTCAGCTCATTGAAAGTCTATTCAAATTTAGAGTTCAACACACAGAACAAAATAGTAATAGATGAAACTCACGGGCTAAAGTAGCTGTCAGAGAAGGGGATGGTACAGCAAGCATACTCACTGTTGAGGAAAGTAGATGAAGCTGTCCAACTAAACTGATCTGCATCAGTGATTCAACCTGTAAGTATGCATGAACAAGCAAAAGAAATAGTAGAAGGAAGAAGAAAATGCCATTGATTAAGTATTTGTCCTCGTCCATGTATAACACAGAAAACACCATTACAAAATCAACAGGTGCTGCCTCGGCACTTTGCCCCACTGAAGTAACAATGATGTTTCGTTAAACAATGCAATGCAACGATGTATGCTATAGACGTTGTTATCCACATCACATTAGGCTTTAATTCTTGATCTTGTCAAAGTGATAATTTTACACTCCCCTTTGCCACTGAAAAGAGGGTTGCTTCAAGCTAGATAAGACTGATAAAACTAACAATGCTTTTCTAAGAAAATGCCATGTTTCAGATAATCATTTCTTTTAGGGAAAGTTAAATACACCCATGTCCCACATGACTTCACGATGCACCTCTCTTTTACGGGGAGCAAGGGATACACTCAAGCTAACAGCTGATCATCATAGCCAAGAACAGCATAAATTTGATCTAAGAATGGAAAAAGTTTTGCTGCACGTCCAGACTTGTATTGTCATATCCTTTCGTCGCTAAATGAAGAGCTTAAAATTATAAGCTAATCAAACAAAAAGTTCACTCGCTAACCTTAAATGAGATTTCTTCTTGGCTAACAGTAGACTTCGAAGGATGACTTCTGTTGCTATTCGCAATATCCTTTTTATATGCTTCCGGAGCAGGTTCACTTGTAGACAAATCAATGATGCTGTCATTTGTATCTGAAACTGGCACTTCGCTGACTTCCGCAACAATGCCCATGTTTGTTGTGTCCTGAGCATCTCCAGGTCCTTCAGCAGTCAGGAGCCAGTTCCATATTTTCCCATCATCGGAAATGGATAGCAAATGTATCTTAGAAATGAGAACAGATTCGTCACAAAAATCAAAAGGACTGTCAAAATCCACATCAGCTGAAGTATGAGATAACTCAGAATAAAGCTTCCCAACATTTTGAAGGGTGGAATCCGATTCAGAAATGACAACCGCAAGAATGGAGGGTGATGGAACAGATGTGCCAATTGAGGGCATCAATTCTTCCATCTTACACATCATGTGCACCTGTTCTCCTCTGTGATAATATGCAATTAAGTAAATTACTTAACTACAAAAAATATTAGCTATTTAAGCAGCTTCCAAAGTGATCCTAATAGTTTATTCGAACAAAAATACATCAGATAAATTTCCAAGGCTTCCAGTTGCAAAATAACATGCAGGAAAGGATAGAAATCAAGACTCTGGTTAAAAAATAAAATTGAGCGCTAATTGCTGGCAGCATAGGGAATATCAACAGAAGCACTCTTACCCTCTTGATTTTTTCTAATATCATTAAAAGGAACCAAAGTCACAACTATTGTACATGTGATGAATATCAGTTTAGTAATATTTTGGAACCAATCCGATTTCAACAGTCTAAACAAAAATGAAACCGAGCCATTCCAATCACTGTCTAAACCAAACCAATTCGAACCATAGCAATAGGGATCAGATTGGTTTGGCAATTTAACTTTTTATGAAACAAATCCCAAAACTATCCAACCATGGAATTGGATGATGTGCTCAATAATATGGAATTGGGGCCTTACCGTTTTATTGTTGGGTTATGGAATTTTTTTATAAGGTGTGATAATATCTATGGTAAACTTACATAGATAACCAATAGTATGAGAGCTATTATATAAATCTAAAATAGTAGCAGATAAGATCGGATCGGGTTTTTTGAACTATAATCCGTGAACCAAACCGATCGATCACCATGGTTCTCTTCATTTTGAAACCGTAACCGAACCGATTGCTTGAGAAACCGATCCGATCTGCAGGGATCAAATTAACGGTTTGGCAATTTAAATGTGCACCCCTACCAAAACTGTAGAGGAGGAAAAGAAAAAACTATGTCCTTATATAGAATCTAAGTTCTCAACAAACTCCCAAAAGATCTCAGCAAAGTGATTCATCCTCCCAGTCACCTAACTAATAAAACCCCCATAAATACTAGTATACTACTCTTTATTTGGTGAAGTGGCACATCCACTCCCTCAAAGATTGTGGATTCCTCTACCCCAAATTTATCACGTCAAAAACAAAGAGAGCCAGCATATTGGACCTTTCCAGGGGACAACACTTGCACCACACGCACTATCACCGCATAACATGACCACGTCTCAACCCTCCCGGATATCAAAACTCTCCATCGCATCCTATCCGCCCCTCCTCTCACAATTTCCACTTTGTACAGCCTCTAACAAACCACAAATGCCTATGTCTCATAATCATGAACTATTCTAGCTGGTTCACCCACAAAAAAAGTTTTATGTGGGTGCTCTCATTTCCATTTTTGGAGGAGTTTGTGAGGTGCCAAGTTTCTTGATGAACTCCAGCTTCTCAATTGGCATGTCCTTTTTGTTGTTAAGAACTCATCAATTGTAGGGCTTTGAAGGACCAGCATGAAATGCATGCAAGAAACCTATGCCGGATAGTGCAATCTGATTACTTCAGGTGTGTGCACAGCATAACGTATGACCAACTGAATTCTTTAAAAGGGCCTTACAAAATGAAGAAAAACTAAACGAAAGAAAGTAAAATACAATACAAAATAACATAAGGCAAAAGAAGAGGTAGGGAAGGCAAGAGAGGAAGCTCAATGAAGATAGCATATTGAAGAGGCTAAGAGGAAACAAGGGAAGAAAAAATCCAAGAAATGAAAATTACCAAAAGGGAGATTAAAAAAAAAAAAAAAAGAAGAAGAAAGGAAGCCAAAGCAACATAGTCAAATGTAGTTTCTTCTGTGTTTTTTTAATATATATATATGTGTGTGTGTGTTTTTTTAATATATATATATTTTTTTGGTACATGAACTGCATCTCTTGTAGCACCTTTTAATGATCAAAAGGAGGATTAGAAGGCAAGTTAAAATTATAACGGGAATACTTAATAGTCATCCTGCCTATTGATCCTTTATTCTTAGTTCCCATATCTTGGTATCATTCTTAGGAGATTTGACTAAGATAATGTAGATGACTATTCTACGTCAGATGCCACCTGTCATTTTAATATTATTAATGCAAGACCACATAGGCCACATTTGCATACTGTAAAGAGCATGTACTGTACGCTAGAGCTCTATCTTTTTGGCCTCATGAGGGAGGCCTTGCTCCAGTCGGATGGACTTCTTTCTACTCACCTACACTGTTTAGAGGAGGGGGTCGCTACCCTTCACTCTCCTGCTGTCATGGAAGTACCCCGCTCCAGTTGGATGAGAATCGCTATGCACTATCTCTGAGGCCTCTTCCCTACGGATAGGGCTTATATCTAGATCATCTAAGCTGTTCATCCCGAGCTCCCCCTGCATAGGAGCTCGAGAGCTTCAGACTTAATTGTTCACGCCGAGCTCCCCCTGCATAGGAGCTTGAGAGCTTCAAACTTAATTGTTCACCCTGAGCTCCCCCTGCATAGGAGCTCGAGAGTTTCAAACTTAACTGTTCATCTCGAGCTCCCCTTGCATAGGAGCTCGAGGCTTAAAGTGTAGAAGCTCGAGACCAAAGAAGGCAAGTCCCAAGCAATTCCCCTATCTCCCCTACTTCGCGGGAATCTGAGTATCAGTGGTTAGGTGGCTAAGTTCTAAGGATTCGCCTCACCTCGAGGTCTAAACAAGGGGGAAAGAATGCTTAATAACCAATAGCTGAACTCGAGCAGTAGAGACCGCACAATACATTAAATATATGTATATCTCACAGACTGACTATTGCATAAAGAATGAGCTACCCTCGTTACCAAGGGTCCTTACCTAAGTAAAGCAACCATTAGATAAAGAGGGAGTTGGCTCTTATGAGTTATGACCAAGGGTCCTTACCCAAATGAAAGTACTATAAATAGGACTAAACTTTCATCATTTAGGAAGGTTGGAAGACATATACATCACCACAACCATAACCATAAAGATTGGTCCTCTAGGACTCGAGCTACCATAAGGTGTTAAACAAATTTGCCTTCTCTCTCTCAATCTCCTCTACGGAGAATCCCTTGTGCTAGCTTAGAGCTTCACTCAGCCTCTGATCTCAGCATTCCCGACAGACGTGGAACGATCTCCTCAACTTACCAAGAACTGGTATCAACAAATAGTTCGATCATGTGATAACAAAACCACTGAGGAAGAATGACAGTCCGCAATTCTGCATTGAGGGTAATAGTAGTAAAAGGGATGGACTAGACATTATTGCAGTTTCCGGATTGTGATAATAAGAAAAGACAGTAGCATGCCTTCCAACAAACGTTATGAACCTTCAAGGGGAACCAACAAAAGTTATGAAGCTACGAATTTTATCTTGGAATGTCCGTGGTCTCAATGACTCGGGCAAGAGGAAGGTGGTGAAGATGGCAGTGAGAAAATGAGGGGTTCATTTGGTGTGTCTTCAAGAAACGAAGATTGATTCTATGACTGATAGAGTGGTTAAGAGTCTTTGGGGAAGTCGGTTCGTTGAGTGGGAGGCTCTGGATGCATTAGGGACCTCTGGAGGTGTTCTTCTCATGTGGGATAAGAGATGGATGGCAAAGGTGGACTTTTGTAGGGGGCGTTTCTCTCTATCTTGTGCTTTTGCGATGGAGGAGGATGGTTTCTCTTGGGCCTTCTCTAGTGTGTATGGGCCGGTGGATGACTGTGAGAGGATTGCGCTGTGGGAGGAGCTTAGTTGGTGAAGGGGATGTGGTCTCTTCCTTGGTGCGTGACCGGAGATTTCAATGTGGTTAGATCCTCGTCGGAGAGATCTATAGGTGGTTCATGGACTCCAACTATGATGCATTTTTCAAAATTTATTGATGGACATCAGCTTATTGATCTTCCTTTAGAGAGAGCTTCTTTTACATGGTCTAGTGGAAGGGAGGCAACTACTATTTCCTGCCTGGATAGATTCTTGATTTCAGGATAATGGGAGGAGAAGTTTCCGGACGCATTCAGGCCATTTTGGCTAGGGTGACGTCGGACCACATTCCTTTGATTTTGGACTATGGAGGATTGAGACTTCATTGTACTCCATTCAGATTTGAGAACATGTATGTGGCTTAGAGCGGTGGATTTTCAAGGGATAGTGCGGTCTTGGTGGGAGGACATAGTGATGGGAACGTCGAGTTTTATTTTAGTAGGAAAGCTTTGCCTCCTGAAAAACAAACTCAAAAGATGGAATAAGGAGGTGTTCGGTAATTTGGAGTGGAGGAAGAATAGGGCCCTCGCTGACATTGCTGAGATTGATAGATTGGAAGAGGTGGGTGGTCTTGTTGAGTCCCAACGTAATAGGAGAGTAGCTTGTCAGGTAGAATGTGTTGAGATTGCGGTTATGGAGGAAATCTCGTGGCGACAGAAATCTCGGGCCTTGTGGCTCAAAGAGTGAGACCGTAATGCAAAGTTTTTTCATAGAACTGCTAATGCCCATAGGAGGGGCAACCACATTGGGCGGATGTGTGTGGACGGAACGGTGTTGAATACGGAGGAGGAGGTGCGTAGGGGGATTGTTTCTTTCTATCAGAGGCTATACTCTGAGCCTCTACATTGGAGGCCACGACTTGATGGTTATCATTTTGATTCTATTTCAGTTGTGGATAGGGATGGGTTAGAGAGCCCCTTTACGGAGGAGGAGGTTCTAAAGGCTTTGAAGAGTTGGAATGGTGACAAGGCTCCACGTTCGGATGGCTTCACAATGAGATTTCTATTGGAGAGCTGGGAGGTGGTTAGAGAGGAGGTTATGGGCACTTTTGATGAGTTCCATTCTAATGGGAGGTTCGAAAAGTCGCTGAATACATCTTTTATTGCTCTTATTCCTAAGAAGGGTGGTGCTTCTAACGTTAAGGACTTTAGACCAATAAGTCTGATTGGGTGTATGTATAAGCTTATCGCTAAAGTCCTTGCGTTAAGATTGAGGGAGGTTCTGGACGGAGTCATCTCTGAGTCTCAAAATGCGTTCATTGGGGGTAGACAGATCCTGGATTCCGCTCTTATTGCCAGAATGTGTGGATTTTAGGCTTTAGTAGCGGTGTTCCTGGAGTTCTGTGTAAGCTGAATATCGAGAAAGCCTATGATCATGTTTGCTGTAATTTTTTGTTTTATTTGTTAAAGAGAATGGGTTTTGGAGAGAGATGGAGGAGATGGATCGAAACATGCGTTTCCTCTGTCAGATTTTTGGTGTTGATGAATGGGTCTCCATCCGAGTTTTTTGGCAGTTCTCGTGGTTTGAGGCAAGGGGACCCTCTCTCCCCTTTCCTGTTCATTATTGTTATGGAGGCTCTTAGTGGATTGATGAGAAGGGTTGTGGACTTAGGTTTTATCAAGGGCTTCAAGATTGGTCCAGATTTAGCTCAGCAGATGGAGATCTCTCACCTGCTTTTCGCGGATGACACTCTGGTCTTCTGTGAGGCAGAGGTGTCCCAATTGAGATTTTTGAGATGTGTCCTGGTTTGTTTTCAGGCTGTTTCTGGTTTAAAAGTCAACGTGGGAAAGAGTGTGCTTGTCCCTGTGGAGGAGGTTCAGGAGGTGGATTCTCTTGCAGCTGTTTTAGGGTGCGGGACGAGCTCCTTCCCTATTTCTAACTTCGGCTTGCCGTCGGGTGACTCGTCAAGGAGGGTGGGAAGTTGGGACTCAACGATTGAGCGTTTCGAGAGAATGTTAGCTGGGTGGAAAAGGCAATATCTTTCGAAGGGAGGAAAAGCTACTTTGGTGAAGAGTACATTGTCCAGTCTTCCAACTTATTTTCTTTCGTTTTTCCAAATCCCCTCCTCTATTGTTGGAAGACTTGAGATGCTTCAACGGAACTTCCTATGGGGCGGTCGGGGGGAGGAGTTTAAATTTCATCTTGTTCGGTGGGAGTAGGTTTGTAGATCCTTTAAGTTGGGAGGTCTAGGGATTAGGAGATTGGCCCCTTTCAACAGAGCACTCCTAGGCAAGTGGTTATGGAGATTCGGTAGTGAAAGACATAGGTTATGGAGGAAGGTTGTTTCATGTCGCTTTGGGGAGGAGAGAGGGGGATGGTCAGGTCAGGTAGGCCAGTCAAATCTGCTGTCGGCGTGGGGGTGTGGAAATCCATTAGGAAGGGTTGGGATGAGTTCACCAAGTATATTAGATTCAGAGTTCGGGAAGGAAGGGACGTTCGATTTTGGGAGGATACTTGGTGCGAGGATCATCCATTATCTTGTTTGTTCCCAAGGTTGTTTAGGATTGTTGTTAATAGACATGCTTTGGTTGTTGACTGCTATCGTCTTGATAGCGGTAGGTTATCTTGGGATGTGCGGTTCTGGCTATCTTTTCAGGATTGGGAGTTGGATGACGTTACTAGCTTGCTAGACCTTTTGTATAGACAGGAGGTGGATGGTACTGGTTCGGATTCTTTGATTTGGGTGCCTTCTTTGCAGGGGACTTTTCAGATCCGGTCCTTCTTTTTCTGCCTCTCCGGATTTCACTATACCACTTTCCCGTGGAAAACGGTTTGGCATTCACAAGCTCCTCTTAGGGTGGCCTTTTTTGTTTGGACTGCAACTTATGGTAGGATCTTGACTCTGGATAACTTGAGAAAGAGAAGACAAATCATTGTTAACCGGTGTTGTCTGTGTAAGAATGATGGAGAGTCTATGGATCACCTTCTTTTGCATTGTCCCGTGGCTCATGACTGCTGGAGTCTTATTTTGGGACTTTTTGGCGTCCAGTGGGTTATGCCCCGGACCTCAAGGGATTTGATTGACATTTGGAGGGAGCCAAAGGGTGGGGGCACATGTTCGCGATTTTTGGAGGGTGACCCCCCTCTGTGTTTGGTGGAGCCTTTGGAAAGAGCGGAATAGAAGATCTTTTGATGGGGAGGAATTCTTCATAGGGGCGTTGAAGTTTTCTACTATTTGTTCTCTTTTTAGTTGGGGTATGGGGAGAAATTATATTTCTTTAGATGAAATCGTGGATTTTTTGGGTTCTTTGGGTCCATAGGACTTTCCCCTTCTTTTTTTCAGTTTTTGTACAGCTCTTGGGACGCGTTTCCCCTTTTGAACACTTTCTAATACATTTTTACTTATAAAAAAAAAAGGGGGAAACAGCTTCACTCAAAATTTCTAAGTAATTCTGCTTCCTTTGATAATCAAAATTAAATAGTAGCATTTTTTGTTAGCAATTAGTTTTTCTCCATGCAAAAAAAGCCAGTTCACCCACAAAATAGTTTGACATGGTTGTTCCCATTCCAGTTTTTGAGGAGTTTGTGGGTTGTCAAGTATTTGGTTTATCTTCAGCAGCTCAATTGGCATGTCTTTTGTTGTAAGAATTTCTATAATCTTAAGGATTTAAAAGACCAACTTAAAATGTATTTAACAAAATTCTAAGCTGGAGAGTGCGATCTTGATTACTTCACGTGTATGCATATCCCATGGACAACAGACTTCTTCAAGAATGCCTAAATAAAAAGAAAAAAATTGAAATGGTGCGACTTGCGAGAGAAGAGCTAGGGTGCGGATAGAGCAAGTGAGAGAGAGAGAGAGCATAGTAAAGGCCAAGATGAAACAAGGCAAGTAGAAAAAAGGCAAAAGAGAAAACTTCCAAGTGGAAACCTAAGGAGGAAATAAAAAAGGGGACAAAGCCACAAAATTAAAATGTGCTAGAGAGAGTAGGTGAAATACAAGGAGGAAAATGAAGCAAGTTAATATAAAGGTGAAGTCTCAAGCCAACATGAAACAAGTTAACAAATACTCCAAGTCAGACAATATATAAGGGCCAAAAGTTGAATTAGTAGATCTGTAAATAATCAGAATAACTTCTTGCAAAGGAGTGTACTAAATAATTCATTAGTATAAAAGTTGGGCTATCGAACACCAGTTGTCTCTCTAATCAGAATAATTTCTTGCAAAGGAGTGTACTAAATAATTCATTGGTATAAAAGTTGTGCTATGAAACACCACTTGTCTAAATAATCAGAAGAATTTCTTGCAAAGGAGTGTACTAAAAAATTCATTGGTATAAAAGTTGTGCTATGGAACACCAGTTGTCTAAATAATCATAGTTTTTTGCAAAGGAGTGTACTAAATAATTCATTGGTATAAAAGTTGTGCTGTGAAACACCAGCTGTCTATCTAACTTGAGTGGTATCTTCTATCATCATATAAGGAGGCTGTGAATGGTTTGAGTCCCACCTCGGTATAGATGTGCTTGTCGTAATTATCAGAAAAATAAACATAAAAATTACGCCTATAACTGCTTGACCAGTGAATTGAAGACGTCAACTCCTCTAATAAGACATGCAAAATATCCTGATGTAGTACTATTAATTCAAAAATGAAAATAAAATACACAACATACTACAGTAAAAATGTTGGATCAAAATACTAGCTTTGAAGAAAATCATTCGCTGATCACCCATGGTCAGAGGTCATGAGTGAGGAAAGATGATGTCATGATTATTGCATAGTTCATATTTTTTCTTATTGAAAAATAATAATAATAATAATAATAAATAAATAAAGAAGATTCTCCTATTGGAATCCCATATTACCTGAAGTTCTGAACCCTAAGTTGAGCAAGCCCACATACAAATTCTACACTAGGATCCTCTCCAGCTTGAATTCATGGCACGAGCATACCAAGTCTAGCGACATGATCCAGATCCTTGTAAAATGATGGTTGTGGCAACCCTCAAGCATCCACCTTTGGAGGTAAGTAGCCATGAATAGTGTGAACTAGACCTAAGGAGGTGAATAGGCCTTGAAATCTACTTACCTACTTTTAATGGAAATTCAAATCTGCACTAAACTAAGTTTTGAATTTCAATTATCTATAAAGCATGTAAAAATCAGCTTCGTAATGTATGTAAAGTTTTGGTTTATAACTAGGTTGCCAGACTCTGGACCAATAATTTCTTATTTACGTCTGACTTAGACTCAAGCAAGACAAGAAATTATTTCTGGTGTATGTGTGTTTGTAAACAACAGCAAAAGCAATTCAAGTAGAGAAGATCAAACCTGATAAACAGAATAGAATATAAGTATGACTACGAAAAAGGAAAAGACTTCATAAACAGAAAAAGGAATAATTCAAAAAAACAAGAGCAATTCAAGCCTCATTGGTGCTTACTCTTTTCGCAGCCAAGTACTAAGCTTCCCATCAAGATGAGCACAGTACAGCAACTCAACATTCGGATGTGGCAACACATCCACAAACTTGGCGCAACCCCGCGGAAGCCCCGCCGTGAACAATGCTGTCTCGTATTGCAGATCAAACACCACCAACTCCCTCGGAAAAGTCACGAACAAAATGTGCCTCCATTGCGGCGAGAATGCAAACTTCACCATGTACGTAGGAAACACCGTCAACGCCGGCGAAGAACTTGGCGTCGCTCCGGAGACCGCGTCCCTCTCCAGCTTCTGCAATTCGGAGGTGTCCGTGGGAATTTGAATTTCCTTGATGACGACATCGTCTTCGGTGTCACCGAGGACCTTGATGGAGAGAAGGAAGCCTCTGAGTCCTAGGGTACAGAAATGACCCGAATCGAAGGGATCGCGGCGAATGCAAGAGAAGAATTCAGGTGTGGCGTCGTATTTGAAGAAGCACCGGCCGGTGGAGGTGTTGTAGAGAGAGAGGTTGGAGGGTCCAGATAGGGCGGAGAGGATCCATATATCGGGTCGGGTCTGGATCCAACAGAGATCTTGGATGCCGAGCTTGGAGGAGGAGGGATCGGACTCGAGGAAAAGGAGGGGAGACTTGAGGCGGAGATCGAGGAGGGCGATGCGGCCTTGGCGATCGCCGGCGGCGAGGAGGAGGTGGGAGGTGGAGGAGGGGTCGTGGGAGAGGAGGTCGCGGCGGAGGGGCTGAGGAGACCATCGGACGGAGGTGACGAAGGGGGAGAGTGAGGTATTGGAAGTGGTGGAGGGAGGAGGGAGGGGAAGGACGGAGACGAGTTGCATGGAGCGGGACTCAATGACGGCAACACTGCTCCCGGAGGCGTAGGCGAGGAGTCCGGCGGTGCTGAGGTCGGCGGCGCCACCGTTGTTGCGGGAGGGTGGGCCCGGCAGCATGCAGTCCCAGGACTCGTTGGGGGGTCGTGGAATCGACATTGTTGTGTTCATGGTCGAACCAACTGTCGATCTTGACAATTCAGAGTTGCTTTTCTTGTTCGTATATACATGTATCAGAGAAGAACTGATGATAGTACTTTGTTACGGGGTTGGGACCTTGACAAGCCCACGACAGCCATGGAATGTGTCAGCGTGCACTGGGGTGTCTAGTGACATTTTAGTAAATATGACGAATAAGTGAAGCTTGGAGTTAGTTTTGGCTCGGGATCTTTATGAGATGTACCTTAAGTTCATAGAAGATGGTTGGCGCAGACGGCACTCGATTTGGATGTCGTGCACTCTGAGACATTTATATGTGGGTACAGATTAGTGAGCTTGGCACGGGCTAAGTTCATAAGGTTGACTCAGATGTTGCTTATAGTATGGACCACACAAGTCATGGATGTGTAACATAGTCAAGTCAGGGACATGGGCACAAGGCAGTGGGCGTAGGCAAGGTTGGCTCAGGGGACTCAGACATGGCTTATGGTTACAGAAGATGGCTAAGTGGGCTCAGGTGGTTGGAGGAAGTTACACTTCCCACTAAGTGGGCTTAGTTGGTTAGGGGGAAAGTTACTAACACTTCCCACTAAGTGGGCTCTGTTGGTTGGGGGAAGTTACTAGCACTTCCCACTCATGTGGGGAGTGGGGGTGTGCTGAATAACTTCCCATCCATGTGGAACAGATTTGAGAGGACAACACACAGACGGTTGGAGGTAGTTTCTTCCATTATGCTGAGTGCAACTTCCTATGGACACGTGGCATGGGCAGAGCATGCCAACAAGCTAGTAGTTGGGCTTGTCAACTACATATGTAGTATTGGCACACTTAGTGGTTGCCAACATGACCCTAGGTGGATGGGGGTGTCATCTACCACTTTAGTGGGTAGTTGTGAATGGATGAGGGTGTCATCCACTACTTTAGTGGGCGATTTTGAGAGTTTGCCTATATATTACTAATGTGGGTTCTGTTGTGAGAGCAGATTGAGAGTGAGACACAGAGTTGTGTTGTGAGAGACTCTTGTATGCTTCTGCAGGTTGAGGCCTTTCCTTGTACTATTTTGTGAATAATAGTAAAAGGTTGGAAGCTTTGTGCTTCTGTAAATTTGTGGGTGTTATTGTCTTTACATTCTTGCAACTGTACTTGTGTGTAAGAGTGTTTTATTTGCTGTGTGTTCTAGGCAGTAAGTATAAGTTGGCTGAGCTAAGTCAGAAATTCAGAAAAGTTGTTCATATTTCTAGCTTAGTGCCATCACAGGGCACTAGATTCGTATTCAGAATTTACCCCTGTGACAATTGGTATCAGAGCCCAGAGTTGGGTTCATCATGGCCGGTGGTAATGCTACAGAAGCTCTCAAAGATCGTGTGACTTGTTTGGAGGCCTTGGTGGGTGCTCCACAATCTGACGATGTTGCTGCCTTGACGGAACAGATGGAATTGTTTGCAGCTGAGTTGCAGACAATACGATCAATGCTTGAAGAGTTTGTGGGGGAGACAAACTCAAAGATCCAGATTATAACGGATGATGTGATGTCCATGACAGACCTCTTCAAAGATCATGTGAAAGATTTGGAGGGCGAGGTAGCTCTATTGAATAGGGCCATGCACAATCAGACTGTTGTGGGAGAGAAGCCATCATCTTCCAAAATCAAAATTCCAGAACCAAAGTCATTCAGGGGCAAGAGGAGTGCCAAAGATCTGGAGAATTTCTTGTGGGATATGGAGTAATATTTTCGAGCAGCCCACATTCCAGATAATGACAAGGTAATTATTACCAGTATGTATTTGTCTGGTAATGCTAAATTGTGGTGGCGAACTCGGGCGAAGTACGAGTTACGCCCAAACATTACTGTATTTGCAGAGCTGAGGAAAGAACTGAAGAAGCAGTTTCTTCCAGCATATTCTGGCTGGGTGGCTCGGGAGTCATTGAGGAAACTCAAGCATACGGGTACAGTCCGTGAATATGTGAAAGAGTTCACATCTTTGATGCTGGATATCAAAGATATGTCCGAGGGGGACAAATTGTTTAATTTCATGGCAGGCTTGCAATCATGGGCACAAATCGTGTTAAGGAGGACTGGTGTGATCGACCTCTCTTCTGTTATAGTTGCAGCAGACAGCCTGGTGCACTTGCAGATTGAAAAGTCTGACTCTACTATCGCCAACAAACTGAAGAAGAAGGGCAAGTTCGGTGACAAGCCCAAGAGGTATGGTGTTGCTGAGGAAGAGAAAGACAAAGGGAAGCCAGAGGCGACGTTCATCCAACAGAGGCCAAAGCTGGATAGTGGTTGTTTCATTTGCAAGGGTCCACACAGGGCGAGGGACTGTCCTAAAAAGGAGAAGGTGAATGCTATGGTTGCTGAAGAAGCCAATGGAAGAGATTCAGACTCGGATGAGGGTAATGTTCGGGTCAATCCTCTTGTCATGCAATCATGATAGGTGCAGGTGGGCGCGTGGCTTCGGGGGAAGGCTATGCAGAGATGCTCACGGAGTTATTGCCAAGGTTGGTAATGGTGAATTTCCTTTTTATTTGTTTTTCTGATTTGGGTTGCTGGTTGTGAGGACAGAATCCAATGGTGTTCAGAATTCATGTCATGAATTGATGCGGAGGTTGGGGTTTATGGCATTATTCAAGTGCAGCAGTGGAGTTGTTGCAGTGTTAATATTCAGCATTCGGGTTGGTCGGGGCCAACATGCTAAGTTGCAGTCAGAAACTTGTGACACTTTGTGATTGCTTCAACGAGGACGTTGAAATTCTTAGGTGGGGGAGGTTTGTTACGGGTTTGGGACCTTGACAAGCCCCCTGACAGCAATGGGATGCTGTCAGCATGCACTAGAGGTGTCCAGTGGCATTTTCGTAAATATGGCGAAAAAGTGAAGCTTGGAGTTAGTTTTGGCTCGGGATCTTTATGGGAGGTACCTTGAGTCTATAGAAGATGGTTGGTGCAGACGGCACTCGATTTGGATGTCGTGCACTCTGAGACATTTATATATGGGTGCAGATTAGTGGGCTTGGTACGAGCTAAGTTCATAAGGTTGGCTCAGATGTTGCTTAAAGTATGGACCACACAAGTCATGGACATGTGGTATAGTCAAGTTAGGGACATGGGCACAAGACAGTGGGCGTAAGCAAGGCTTAGCGTGCAAGGTTGGCTCAAGGGACTCAGACATGGCTTATGGTTACAGAAGATGGCTAAGTGGGCTCAGGTGGTTGGGGGAAGTTACACTTCCCACTAAGTAGGCTTAGTTGGTTGGGGGGAAGTTACTAACACTTCCCACTAAGTGGGCTCAGTTGGTTGGGGGAAGTTACTAGCACTTCCCACTCATGTGGGGAGTAGGGGTGTGCTGAATAACTTCCCATCCATGTGGCACAGATTTGAGAGGACAACACACAGGCGGTTGGAGGTAGTTTCTTCCATTATGCTGAGTGCAACTTCCTATGGACACGTGGCATGAGCAGAGCATGCCAACAAGCTAGTAGTTGGGCTTATCAACTACATATGTAGTATTGACACACTTAATGGGTGCCAACATGCCCCTAGGTGGATGGGGGTGTCATCTACCACTTTAGTGGGTAGTTGTGGATGGATGGGGGTGTCATCCACCACTTTAGTAGGCAGTTGTGGGCGGTTTTAAGAGTTTGCCTATATATTACTAATGTGGGTTCTGTTGTGAAAGCAGATTGAGAGTGAGACATAGAGTTGTGTTGTGAGAGACTCTTGTATGCTTCTACAGGTTGAGGCCTTTCCTTGTACTATTTTGTGAATAATAGTAAAAGGTTGGAAGCCTTGTACTTCTATAAATTTGTGGGTGTTATTGTCTTTACATTCTTGCAACTGTACTTGTGTGTGAAAGTGTTTTACTTGCTGTGTGTTTTAGGCAGTAATTGTGAGTTGGCTGAACTAAGTTAGAAATTCAGAAAAGTTGTTCATATTTCTGGCTTAGTGCCATCACATGGCACTAGATTCGTGTTCAGAATTTACCCCTGTGACATTCTTTATTATAGAGTAGACGGAAGAGGGAAAAGAAAGTTCAAGAAAAATCTCTTAATTTTCTTTATGTTTGGGAGGAGTGATTTATTTATTTTAACAATAATGGGATGCAAGTCACGCCTAAATAAAATGACATGAGGCACAAGTGAGATTTACAAGACTAGATCTCATATTCTACTAAATGAAATAATTTCTTTCGCCTAAATGATACTAATACTTGATTCTAATATTTTGATGATAAAATGAAGTTAAAATTTGTAAGGGAGACAACGTCGCGAAATAATTTCATTTTTTATGGTCAAAAAAATAATTTATTTAATATTAAATTTTTTTTTTCAATCAAAATAGATAATTTATTCTAACAAAATTAACTTTTTTTTGAGATAATAATACTATCATCGGCTCCACCCACCCCCTCCCCACCATGGCTACCTCCACCCACCTCTTCCCACTATAGTCATTGCCACTGCCATCACCTCCTACCATAGCTACTGTCACAACATCTCTCACACACACATCAAAACCCATCAACGTCACAAAAAGAAATTCGCTTGGCATTTAAATTAATTTATATTTCTTGAAGAGGTTGTTGGCATTTAAATTAATTTTATATTTCTTGAAGAGGTTGTTGTTTCACCTCCATTGACCGTTGTTATTTATTTGGTAAAAGCCAAGAACAAACCAAAGTATATAAACTAGTGTCAGAAATTGTTTGGGAGTTGGGACATATTGTTTCTCCTTAATTTAGTTTTTCGGAATGATTTTATGTTTTATGAGAACTTATAAGAAGAAAATTAATCAGTTTTCTAAGCAAATTCGAAATGTTTTTAGTTCGATTGGAAGGTAGATTTTTACTGGATTTTATTTTCATAATATATTTTTATGCAGTTGTAAATAAAAGATTTTAAAGCAAGCCAATACTCTGACTCACTTGCAAATTAAAGATTTTAAAGCAAGCCAATCCGCACCCCCACCCAACCAAAAACCAAAAAAAAGGGTAAGCACCAGCGTCTATTAAGTGAACGTTTAATTTATTAAATCCCAGCACTCATTGACGACCACTGGTAATTACTTAATTCCAGCACTCCTTAATAAACGCTTATAATGACTAAATACCAGCGCTTAATAAGTTCGCGCTTATTTACGAGTGCTGGTAATGAGTAATT